TTTCTTCTTTCTTTCTTTCTTTCTTTCTTTCTTTCTTTCTTTCCTTCCTTCCTTCCTTCCTTCCTTCTTTTTTTCTTTCTTTGTTTCTCAAATCAGAGGGTTTTGATTTAACAGCTTCCCTGAATGAGAAGATGATCTTGATTTTTCTGCCTTATATAGTTTCTTACATTGTTTTCTTTTCTTATATGGTTTTCTCCCTTCTTCTACTTTTTCATGTCCTGGGGCACTGTTTTTAAATCTAAATTTAATCCTACACCCTTAGCAAGACAACAATATGCTGTTTAAACAATATGATAAAATCAATTTGCTATCTTGTGACTCTAAACGTACAGTTCAAGACACCATTCTCTACAAATGCAGTCACTTTTGATGCAACCTAATGACATTTACTATTCTAAGTAGTTGCAAAGAAACAAGAACACAAATTAACCTAATGAATACTAGTTGCTGGGAGATCACAGTAACAAGAGGACAATTCCCACCGATCCTTCCTTGCGAGGTTCTTGAACGCATCTGGGTGGCCACCATAATTCACAAACATTGAATAGCTGCCTCCTCTAACATCTGGCACGTCAGGGACTTTAGGCTTTTATTTTGTAGAGATGTTAATCAGACTCAGGCAACTATACCCTAAATTGTATTAACTGATTGATTGATTGATTCTGCAGGTCAGAGAAGTGATTTTCTTGCTGTACTCTATGACTATACCATGCCAGATGAAAGCCAGCCTATATTTCAAGTTGGGGAGAAACTACGCGTGATATCAGAGTAAGTATGCAAATTTCTTTTAGCTTATAAAAGTTGTGGCTACAGAGATTTTCAGTCATCCAGGTCATGGCTGTCCCAAAGGTGCTTTTTCAACAGGATATTGGACTTTCTGGTTTTTCTTTGAAGATATTTCGCTTCTCCTCCAAGAAGCTTCTTGGATGAGCTGAAGAAGCTTCTTGGATGAGAAGCAAAACGTCTTCAAAGAAAAACCAGAAAGTCCAATTGCCTCTTGGAAAAGCACCTTGGGGATTACAAAAGTTGTGTTTTCATTTGTATTTTTTTTTTATGTGGTTTGGGTACATTGTGCCAATGTTATATATTTTAGAGCAGATGTTATCTTTAGATAAATAGATTTCTAACTGTTTAAAGTTTTCTTAAACTTTAAGAAAGCCACACCTCCATCTCCACCAAGAACAGGGGGTAAGAATCCTTCACTCATCCAATTGCAATAAAGGTTAAGAATTTTGTAAATGCAATTTTAATATTCTTCCATATCATTTTAATATCATTAAAGGTAAATTTTATTCCACTTTTGTTATTTGCCTATAAACATAAAAAATAATTTGAATGGCTATTTTTTCTGAACTCAAAAATTACAGCAGCATAATTTCTCATATAATTTGATAGGTGTTTAGAGAGATGGGCGGGGGGACCAATATTTTTTTGTTGTGAGAAGTTATTGCAAAAGTATTTTCCTACTTTATCTCTGACTGATTTGATTTGTTTATTTATTTATTTGTTTTCTCATGTTTATGTAATGTGTATTGGAGATGGGACCCTTTCTGAGTTGTATGCAACAAAAATTTCATTTTAATGTACGCCGATGGTGTACATTTAAAGTGACAATAATGTTATTCTAAGTTCTAAGAGATTGGTGGGAACATGACAAAAATAGACAAATCAGGCAACCATTCACAACCGATCATAGCATCTCACAATCACATGATTATGATTTGCAACACTTTTTGCCAGTTTACAGCAAAAAATGCTCATTCAGGAGAATGGATTCAGATTTATATACTGTGTGGTTCATTTAGCAAGCGCTGTAAAAATCGTCAGAAAATCCACTCTGGTTAATTTGCTGTCATGTCTTACAACTAAAATTCCACCCCAATTATAGTTGTAATTTGTAGAATATCTGTATGGTCCACAGAAGACACCTGAAGAAGGTACCTGAAGCAAGAATAATTGATGGAAACAGAAAAGTAGGCCCAAATAATCCCTAGGTGGTTTTTTTTTTTTTAAAAAAAAGGCATTAAACCACACATTGATGGAAAACCTACATAGATTCCTAGTCTCTAAATTACTGAAGGAAATTATTGCCTTTCCTAACATCACGAGTGACAATCAATATACGTTATTTCCAACCAATGTTCCTCCTCTTTCTTTCTACCTTAAAAAAACAAAACAAAACCACGAAGTTGAAAGAGTCAGCTTTTTGCGCGTGCAAATAGGAAACAACCCATCGTCACCCTTGTGTAAATTGCCAAGAGTATAGCTAGTTGCCTCCACTCGGGTGTTTCAAACCAGGTGATCAGGCATGCTGAGGGTGGACAGTTTTAAAACCAAGCCAAAAATAAATATTTTTCTTGCAGTGTACTTTTTCGTGTACCAGTCAAGCCTTTGAGCTCACAACTGACGAGTGTGACAGTCGAGACTGGATGGAACTTTCTTCTTCCTGTTATGACACTGCTGGGCATGCATACAAATGTGCAAAGAGTTGTGGATCCTTTTAATTGTAGGGCACCTAAAGGGCAAATAGTTGTTTTCTATGAGTAAATTATATAGAAATGGGGTCCATCGACATTTAAATGGTTGCACTTAAAATTCTATGATGGCATTACGGGTCAAAACATTCAAACTAGTGCATTCAAAGCCCACGGTTTTGGAATCTGCTAAAATTAGCATGTTCCTTCCGTGAATACCTTTCTTTAAATCAGAGCCTAAACATGATGTTTATACATCCTTTCTGAGGTAAAGTGGATTGCTTTCCGTCAGGCATGGAAATCATATTAGGCAATAAATTATGAATATTTCCAATTTATCTGACATTTCAGTTTAGACCCTTTCACCATTTTGTTTCTGAGGTAATTATGTCAGCCTTGGAAGCCATTTTTTACTTGGAAGCTTCGAGACTGCCACAGTTAGTGCCTTTGAATTTGGGAGGGGGGATTTCATAGTGAGATAGAAGATTAGACACAACAACATTCTTTCTCGGAGCGTCAAGGACATGTTGCCCTGCACCTGGAGGGGAGTGACTGGAGGGATATCTCCAGTTGGGATGAAGATTTGGTTGGGCCATGTGATGGACTGATGGGTGCAGGGGATGGATCATTTCTTTTCTTTTGGGAAGGGAAAACCTGGAACTCTCAGATTCTGGTTTTCCCAGATGTGCCAATATGACAACTCTAATAAAATGGAACTTTGAGGAAACGTTTGTCTCAGAGTTTATTGGTTGGGAGTTGGTTAGTTGGAACGCTGACAGTATATAGAACTTGACTTATGACAGTTCACTTCCTGATCATTCAAAGTTACAACATCACTGAAAATAAGAGACTTATGACCGTTTTTCACACAACCCGTTGTACCATCCTGCATGGTCACATGATTGGCATTCGGATGCTTGATGTGACTCTCATTTTTCTGGTCATTAATATTTTTTGTTATAAGATAAAATAAGATACAAAATACAAAGGGAAAACAATGGGGTGAAAGGGGGGGGGAGAAACATGAGGAAGGATTAGGAAATAGAAAAAGAAGTATTGACTTCCAACTCTCTCTTGTTACAATAAAATAGGGCATTTGTCAACTCGTAAAACATACTGGCAGTGCCAGTATGTCGCCTCTAATAAATCCTTTGAAGTTTTTTTAAGTTTGGCTCGAGAATCATGATTTAATTAGAGCGATTGCTGGAATCCTGACAGCATTAACATCAAATCACAGCTTTTTGCTTTTTCATAATAATACCATATAAACTTGCCATTTCTATAAGGATCTATCAATCTAATTGGTAAAACACAAAACGAAAGTTTCATTCTTTTCCACTTCAAGCACAAAGTTCAGAAGTACTCTCCATGTGGAAACAGAAGTATTTATATTGATAACTGACTCACATTTATGACGGACTCGGCATCCCGGAGTCATATGATCTCCTTTTGTGACCTTCTGAAGAACAAAGTCAATGTTACCAATTTAAAGCCTCAGCAATTCACTTAACCAACGTGGCAAGAAAAGCTTGCAAAATGGGGCAAAAACTCACTGGATAAATTTCTCACTTAACAACATCAATGTTGGGCTCCGTTGTGGTTGTAAGTTGAGGATTACCTGTAAAGCATGGAAAACTAACAAAAACTCCTTGATTTTCTCTCATAAATACTGTGAGTCTTGGTCATTTTAAGGTAGCTGGACAAGTTTTCCAGAAAAACAAAACAAAACCACAAATCACAAGATATATTCTACTTCTAGCTTCTGGGTCCTTCAAAATCCTTTCTAACTTGCTATATCTAATACTACACATCATAACAGCAGCGAGAATGGTATATGCCCAAAGTTGGAAAAACAGAAGGAGAAATAATAAAGAAAATACTAGTTTGTGCAGAAAGGGACAGACTGACGTTAGAACTTAAAAATAAAGGAGAGGCAGAATATCATGATGTATGGAATATAATGGTTGGAATTGAGAAGAAGGAGTTGGAACAGAAAATAACAACTGCACAATTTAATTTGATGTTATCTGGAGCATAGTGGATAACATGGTTGTATAAATTTAGCAACGTATGAGGTTTTATGCTGTAAATATAAATGTACATACTGGATAGAATAATGGCATAAAATTTGCAATGTATGATTAGTATAATGTTATTTGTTTTATATTTTAGTGTGAATGGCAGAGACAATGCCAGGACAGTCACACTGTGTTCAATATTTTAATATGTAATAATAAAATTTTTGAAATGAAAAAAAAAAATCCTTTCGCACTCTATGAAAGCACAAAGGACCCCACATTTCAATCCTGAGCTGAAAATATTCTCTATTACTAAGACCAATTCTAATTCTAGCTTGTTTTCACCATGCCTTTGACAGCAGCTTCCTCTTTTCACTTTTATAGCGAGGGTATCTGGTGGAAAGCTTGCTCCCTGACTACAGGAAAAGAAAATTATATTCCGGAAAATTGTGTTGCCAGAGTTTACCACGGGTAAGGGATTTCCTTGTGTATATATCTATGCTTACGCAGGCAAATAAACAGATAATCAGAGTGGGAAGGGACCTTGTAGGTCATCTAGTCCACCACCATCCCGCCCAAGCGGGAGACTTTACACCGTTTCTGACAAATGGCAGTCCAATCTCTTCTTGAAAGTTTCAAGTGATGAAGCTCCCACAACTTCCGAGGGCAAGCTGTTCCATTTGTTCTCACTGTCAGAAAGTTTCTCCTTATTTCCAGGTTGAACCTCTCCTTGTTCAGTTTCCATCCATTATAGTCTGGTGCTTTAGAAAATAGCTTGACCCCTTCCTCTCTGTGGCAAACCCTCAAATATTGGAAGACTGCTATCAGGTCTCCCCTGGTCCTTCTCTTCACTAGACTAGCCATGCCCAGTTCTGCAACCGTTCTTCATATGTTTTAGTCTCCAGTTCCCTAATCCAGGGATCCCCAACCACCAGTCCGCGGACCGGTACCAGTCCGTGGAACAAGTCCTACCGGGCCGCTGGTTTGCTGGGCGCCGCCATCTTTTTTTGATGAAAAAGTGCTTCCAGTGAGCTTTTCCAGGTAGAAAGCTCACCGGAAGCACTTTTTCATCAAAAAAAGATGGCGGCGCCCAGCTGATGCCGGTACCGGGCCGTGCCATAAAAAAGGTTGGGGATACCGGGCCGCGGCATAAGAAAGGTTGGGGATCACTGCCCTAATCCACATTGTAAAAATGCATCCACACTGTTGAAAATGCCCATTTCTGTACTCATATTTAATCAGTTACATTTTCCACTCTCTAACAACTAGTGATCAGCAACCGGCGGGGAAATCCAGATGTGCACAAATTAGAATATTTCCCGAGACACCTTACTCGGACTTCCTGAGCCCGTTGTGCACTTTGCTGAGCAAAATTATCTTCTCTTCCTCCCCCCCCCCCTCCCCCGTATAAACCTGACCTATTTCGTTTTTCACTTTTCCTGTAGCTGGTTATTTGAAGGCATCGGTAGAGAAAAAGCCGAAGAACTACTGCTCCTTCCGAATAACAAAACGGGCTCTTTCATGATTAGAAAAAGCGAATCCACAAATGGTAAGCAAAAAGTGGTTAGGGAACCTTGGTCTGTTTTCTCATAAACCAGAGATGAGGAGTGAGTGACTCTTTCTGTTCCATATTAGCAGGCTTGAAACCCTGCATTCCCATTGGTCCGTTTCAACCGCTACCTGATTGGACAGCCTGGGCGGTTATGATTGGCTCGCTAAGGGTCTGCCGCGATTGGTTAAAACCAAGCGCGGGAGACTTAAAGCGATGTCATTGGCCGCCAAGCCACAGCGAGCTCTATAAAAGAGCCGCCGCGGCTGCTATTGCTTTAGCCTGATCTAGCCTGTAAATAAAGAGCTGTTGTTTACTGAACCTGAGTCTCTCGTCTCTATGAGCCCGACCTTCCGAACCTAACACTTTCTATTGCTCATGGGTTGCAATCCCCAAACAACTGGCTAGACGGCCTAGGGTAGATCGGAACTGAGTTTCAGCATCTAAAGCAGTGTTTCTCCATTTTGGCAAGTTGGAAGATGTGTTGGACTTCAACTCCCAGAATTCCCCAGCCAGCCTTGCTGAGAGTCCACACATCGTCAATCTGTCAAGGCTGAGAAATGTTGCGCTAGAGCAGGGGTGTCAAACTCACATCGTCACAGCTGTATCACATGATATATCGGGACTTTTCCCCCCTTCGCTGAACCGGGCATGAATGTGGCCAGCACATGACACATCCGGCCTGCGGGCTGAGAGTTCGGCAGCCCTGCCCTAGAGTATAGCAATAGCAATAGCATTTAGACTTATATACCACTTCACAGTGCTTTACAGCCCTCTCTAAGTGGTTTACAGAATCAGCATATTGCCCCCAACAATCTTGGGTTTTCCTTTTACCCACCTTGGAGAGATGGAAGGCTGAGTCAACCTTGAGCCTGGTGAGATTCGATCTGCCAAATTGCAGGCAGCCAGCAGGCAGCAGAGGTAGCTTGCAGTACTGCACTCTAACCACTGCTCCACCAAAGCTCTTTTATATATATAAATGGCATAGACAAATTCCTGAGACAAAATTCAGTGTAATTATCTTCTGTGTAAAACCCATAGAGGATTGCACTGGTCCTCTCATCTCAACAAGTACAGCAGTTGCATTGTTTGTAAATAATCTCTTACAGCAATGTTCTCCAAAGTGATACTCCTTCCCATCTTCAACTTCCAAAAGTTCTAATCAACATTAGAAGTTTAGTGCTGGTCCAGCTATTCAATCAGAATAGAGCGGGAAGGGACCTTGGAGGTCTTCTAGTCCAGCCCCCTGCTCAAACAGGAGAACCTATATCATTTCAGACAAGTGACTGTCCAGTTTCTTTTTAAAAAACAGTGATGAACCACCCACAACTTCGGAAGGCAAGTTGTTCCACTGGTTAATTGTTCTCACAGTTAGGAAGTTTCTCCTTAATTCCAGGTTGCGTCTCTCCTTGATTGGTTTCCACCCATTGCTTCTTGTCTAGCTAAAAGATACCAGGCTGATATTCCTATTTCTAGCTGGTGACAGCCAAGAACATTTATTTCTGATCCATTTCATATAAAACATTAAACATAAATTGGCCGAGCCAGAATACCTATCTAGAAAAACAATATACTAACCCTAGATATCTCTTTTTCAGTCAGAGATATCTAGCTGCCAGAAAGGGTGAACGTGAGCATAACGTAGAAAAAAGGAGAAACTGATGTTAAGAGGGATTGAGGCTGGTGAGGAATTCTGGCAGTTGAAGTCCACACATCTTCAAGAAACATGGATCTAAATGGGGGCTCTTATTATAGCAACTTTTTTTCCCCCTCCAGGTTTTTATTCACTGTCAGTCCGGCACGTGAATGTGAAACATTACAGGATCTTCCGCTTGCCAAACAATTGGTATTACATCTCCCCTCGGCAAACATTTCAGTGTCTCGAGGACCTCGTAAGCCACTATTCTGGTAAGAGAAAGCTCCAATCGCCTTCTTTTCCAAGATCAGAAATACAACTTGTCAAGTGATCCTGGCTAGGATTTGTACTTTCTCTCCATGCAATGTTTGGTCCTATCTAGGGTGTAGAAATGATTCCTCCGTCCTCTTAAAGGTAAAGGCGAAGGTTCCCCTCGCGCATGCGTACTAGTCGTTTCTGGCTCTTGGGGACGGTGTTTATCTCCGTTACAAAGCCGAAGAGCCAGCGCTGTCTGAACACGTCTCTGTGGTCATGTGGCCGGCAGGACTAAACGCCGAAGGCGCACGGAACGCAGTTACCTTCCCACCAAAGTGGTCCCTATTTTTCTACTTGCATTTTTTTTACGTGCTTTCGAACTGCTAGGTTGGCAGAAGCTGAGACAAGTAAGGGGAGCTCACTCCATTATGCGGTGCTAAGGATTTGAACCACTGAACTGCCGACCTTTCTGATGGACAAGTTCAGCGTCTTAGCCACTGAGCCACCGTGTCCTTATAGTCAATCTAATGTGCTTGTAGCAAACAAATAAAGGTGTTCAATAATGTTGCAGGCAATATGGGGATGTGGGGTCCTTGGTGCTCTCTGAGCTTGGTTGTTTTCTTGCAGACGTTTCATTACCCAGCTCAGTAACATCATCTGTGCTAGAAGGGAATGGGGTTTGCTCTCTATTTATATACAAGCAAACCCCATTCCCTTCTAGCACTGACATTAAAAAAAACTTGCTTTACTCTAATGTCACTTCCAGGCCTTGTGTGAAGTCATGGATTAAGAATAAGCCTGATGATTGACCTCGTAAAACATGCTTATGCCCACTATCATGGCTTAACTTGTTGGCCAGGTTCATAGAACATTCTAAGGCAATAATATGATCCCCAAACTATCCATCATCAAGTTAGCATATCTAGTGTGCTGTGTGAAGCCACCCACTATGTCAAAATTTATTGTAGTTTAAGGTATTGCATGCATCATATTTATTCATGGCTATCAGTGGCAACATTTCAATGGAGCAGTGCAATTTCAGCTCAATACATTGTAGTCCCTGACTTACCACAGTTCGTTTAACTACAGTTCAAAGCTACAACAGACTCAGAAAAAATATTTACAAATTGTAAAGCGGAAAAGCATTTCCACTGATGTGTTCTCTGAACACATATTAAGATGGTGCTATGGCAGTGATTTATTTACTATTAATCAAATTCATACAGCCATCTATCTCTCCAAAGGCTACTCCGCAACAGGCAAAACAATCGAAAGAAATAGATAAAAATTTAAAAAGCCACAATAATAAATACCAGAAAAAGTACAAACAGGACATAATTTTGTCTGCCTTGTTCTTATCATCTGAGATGACTGATGATAGTTTCAGCCTTGTCACATGCCATCTTAACTGCAAGAGGGATCTTGGAGTCCAAGTGGACAATCACTTAAATATGAGCCTGCGGTATATGGCCATAGCCAAAAAAAGCCAACGCAATCCTAGGCTACATTAACAGAAGGATAGACTCAAGATCATGTGAAATTCTAGTACCCGCTTTACAAAGCCTTAGTAAGACCACACCTGGAATACTACATCCAGTTCTGGTCACCACACTACACATACACACTCTGGAAAGTACGCAGAGAAGAGTAACAAGAATGATTAGGGGGCTGGAGTCTAAAACGTATGAAGAACAGTTACAGGAACAGGGTATGTCTGTTCTAATGAAAAGAAGGATGGGGGGAACATGATAGCACTGTTCTAATATTCGAGAGGTGCCTACAAAGATGAGGGGGTGTCAAACTATTTTCCAAAGCACCAAAAGGCAAGACGAGAAACAATGGATGGAAACTAACCAAGGAAAGAACCAACCTAGGAGAAATTTCCTTAACAGTGAGAGCAATCAGCTAATGGAACAACTTGTCTTCAAATGTTGTGGGTACTCCATCACTTTCAAAAAGACACTAGACAATCATTTGTCTGAAATGATAAAGATTTTCCTGTTGGAGCAGGGGGTTGGAGTAGAGGACCTCTAAAGTCTCTTCCAACTCTTATTACTCTATGTTCTAATTAATGTGAATATCTCATGCATTTTCAATGGTGTGAAGCCACAACTTCCCTAACAACAACCAAGCCAACTTCTCACAAATCATGCTACCTGGAGATTCACATCAAAGAACAGGAACCATGGTTGTACACCCAGTGATAGATAAATATCAGTACTCCATGCTTATATTTTAAACCGCTTCAGTGAGTTAGAAACACCAGTTGTCTAGTGATGTCATACTAATCTCTTTCTCCATCACTCATCTCAAAACATTTTGCTTTTTTTTTTTTAAATAAAAATAACCCCATTTAAAATAGAGGATGTGAAAGTGGAAGTCATATGATAACCAACAACTAATTTTAGCCTCAACCTGTTTTGCACAGCGAGCTTTTTTCCATACTCACCCTAACAAACTCAGTACCTAAATGGAGTTGATTCAAATGTGTACATGAAACTGTCATTTGGAAATTGTTTTGAAGCTTTGGATTATTTTAAAAAAAAAATTCAATGGAAACCATTTCCTCCTATTTGCAGGTGTGCTTAAAATAAAATGACATTAGGGAAAAGCAACAAAAATAGTCATCCTTTCGCATTGGAGGAGCTGCTAAAATTCTAGCAGTTAATCTTCAATGTTGCAGAGAATTTCACCGTGCACTTCAAAAACTCCAGAGGTTTTCCTGCAAGCCTATTAGAAAAGAAGGCCCGGTTCTAAAGCATATTGGGAAGCCTGGAGTTATTGTTCCTTCTTCGGGCCTGCTTATCGTCTGCTTTATTTCCTACACCTGCTTTTATTTTAAGTGCACCTTCTGCTATTTTCAGTGGTGGATTTGACTTTAAACACAAAGAGTTTAAAATCTACATCTTTGAGGTCTTCTAAGTCCAACCCTCCTGCTAAGCAGGAAACCTTATAGCATTCCAGACATGTAGCTGTCCAGTCTCTTTTTGAAAACTTCCAGTGATGGAGCACCCATAACTTCTGAAAGCAAGCTGTTCCACTAGTTAATTGTCCTCCCTGTTAGGAAGTTTCTCCTTAATTCTAGGTTGCTTCTCTCCTTGATTAGTTTCCATCCCTTGTTTCTTGTCGCAGGGGTCGCCAACCTTTTGGACCTCAGGGGCCACCAAACTCATAATTTTAAATCCTGCAGACCACTAATATGAATTTTGACTGACAGTGGCTTGTGACGTTGGTGGGAGAGAGAGAGAGAGAGAGATCCAAACTAACCTCGGAGGGCTGGCGGTGATGTTCCCCCTCCTTCCCTCCCTCCACCCCCCCCTCTCTCTCTCACACACACAGAGGTCCCTCACACACCCCATTCCCTCCAAGGCAGCCACATTCCTTCATGAACCTGCTTTTCAGCTCCGTTCTCAGGGGGAGAGAGAGAGAGAGTATCCTGCGAACCCAAATAAAGAATGATCTATCGGTAGGAAAACAGGGTGGGGGATTTTCCTGCAGACTGTTTTTGAGGATTTTCCCAGGGATTTTCCCAGGGTCTTTGCAGAAATTCTGCAGAATTTCTCTGCAGAAATTCCCCACCCTGTTTTCCTACCAATCTATCATTCTTTATTTGGGATTGCAGGATACCGCCTCCAGCTCTGTTCTCAGGGGGGAGAAAAAGAGAGAGAGAGATTTTTGGCTTCATGCAAGGAAAGCAGCAGAAGCAGCAGAAGTCTTTCTTTCTCTCCCCCAAACTCCGCCAGAAATGAGTCTTTGTGAGACTTCTCGTGCCGGCGCAGCCTCTTGAAGCAGGATGCCTTGCAGGGTCCCAAAGACTCGTTTCTGGCGGAGTTTGGGGAGAGAAAGAAAGACTTTTGCTGCTTTCCTTGCGTGCAGCCAAAAGCAGAAGAAGAAAGAAGTGGAAAGAAGTAGCCCAGTGGCCAGGCCAGGCACGTGGGGTGAGTGGGGCAAGTTTCCCCCTCCGCTCTTTCCCCCCTCCCCTCACTACCTCATGTTGTTCTCAATGCAAGTGGTGCAAGCCTTGTGTTCCCACGGGCCATGTGGGTGGCATAGCCTTGTGTTCCCACACAGCTTGGATTAATTGCTTTGGGGGGGTGACATTTCTCTGTGGACTACCAAAATTTTCTCATGGACCACCAGTGGTCCGTGGCCCACTAGTTAGCAACCACTGCTTTGGAGAATAATTTGACCCCAAGTCCATTACCGCATGCCCGATGGTCACATGATTCAGATGCTTGACAACTGACTCACATTTATGATAGTTGATCCCCTTCTGCGACCTTCTGACAAGCAGGGACAGGTGGGAGGGCCAATCCTGTGCTTTTCTCTTCTTTCTCCTCTCAGGTGATTGCTAGAGGATTCTTTTTCCTTGTCTCAGCTGATCATCGGCTTTTTCTACAACCAGTTCAGTTGAACCGGTCTGAACCGGTAGCATACCACCACTGGCTAACTCTGTAAAACCACTTATAAAGCATTATGAAGTGGCATACAAGTCTAAGTGCTATTGCTAGCTGACCTCGGTTAATCTAAAAAAAAGTGGGGAGGAAACTAAGCAGGACTGAACCTAGATAATACTTTGTGGAGAGATATTCAGGGAAAGCCAAGGCTGCAAGCTAGATTGGGAAGTTAAAAAGAAAAACTCACTCTGAAGGAAGGAAATAATTTCCACAATGCTGTCAAGATACTGTAATTGCATAGATGCGTTGATGCCGTTACAGGAATTGACTTTAATTTTCAGAATATCCTGCAAAGGCAAGACTGGAACAACTTGCTAGAATTCTTGCGGCATTTTTAAAACATAGTTATATATGTCGGGAGGGGGGCACAATGGCTCAGTGGTTCAAGACGCTGAGCTTGTCAGCAGGAAATCTGACAGCCTTTGTTTGAGAGCAAAACACCATGTGACAGGATGAGTGCCTGTTACTTGCCTCAGTTCCTGCCCATCTAGCAGTTCAAAAGCATGTGGCTGTGAGTAGATCAATAGGTACCACTTCAATGGGAAGGTTACAGTGTCCTATAGGCCTTGGTGCCTTGTCATGCTGGCCACATAATCATGGAAGCATCTTTGGACAAGGCTGGCTCCTTAGCTAAGAAAGAGAGATGAGCACCATTCCCAAGTTGGACACGGCTGGACAGGGAAACCATTACTTTTACCTTAATAGATAGATGGATGGATGGATGGATGGATGGATGGATGGATGGATGGATGGATGATGGATGGATGGAAGGGAAGGGAAAGGAATGGAATAGAGTAGAGTAGAGTAGAGTAGAGTAGAGTAGAGTAGAGTAGAATAGAATAGAATAGAATAGAATAGAATAGAATAGAATAGAATA